ACAGCTCAGCATGAAGACTAGCTTGTAATTCTTACGATTCAGACATTACGAGAGACAGGAAATAGTGACAAACAGTGATAAAAAAACGCATAGATGCCTGCAGCAGCCAGTAATCTAACTTTCCTCAGCATGTGAAAAAGTCTAGCGATGCCACATCAGCAGCAAGGCAATGTATTCAAATCGGGAACAACGTTCTAAACAACGGCACTGGTTTCCTACATGAGAGTCTCGCGCAAATTCCAGCAGGAAATACAGCAATCTTACCCAGGCATGTATCTACCAGAACCACGACAACGGCATAAAACAGTTTCTGTATACGAAACAAACAGTTTGGTATATCGGACGATGACCACTGATGATTGATTGTTCAGTACCCGATGCTTCGATACTGATCAAAAGACTTTCAATGCCAACCTTCTCTGAAGAAGACGTATGAAACAAGGACCGAACAGCCTCCACTGGTCAAGCATCTGACTGACCATATTGTCTGTTGTGCTGTTTTCCCGAAACAGATACTCACTCAATCATCGGACAGAACGAGACCATAACCAAAGTTTGCAGTCCTACCCACGGGTTCAATCCTCAAAGGCTGCAATACAGTTAACAAATAATGTTTAGTGTAACATTTATCTTCACATTTTTTACACAATGTTCATTTTACTATTACTGGTTCCAGTCAAAGCTCTATTTTGCTTGCAATATAGTCTCCTTTGACAATATTTTCCGCTATTCCTTGTCAGTATTGCTGAAAAATAGAATTCTTTAGCGATTCCGTTTAAACAGTAATAACTATCAATTCCATTCTGATCGGTTGGTCTGGTTCGACATTTCTATTGCAATTTAATCTGTGCATTATTTTCGCCAGAAAGCTTCTACAATGATGCAGGGAGGACATGAAATTCGTGATTTACTGTAGATTCCGTTTCTTTGTTGATCATTAACTTGGCTAATTTACAAATCATCCTGCGTAGCGGAATGTAGTCCAAATATGGCGGCATAAGACACGAATACGAGCTTACTTATTGCAACTCAAATGCACTTCAAATCAATGCGGCTTCTGGCGAGGCTCTTTAATCATCTCAGGTTGAATTTGACACAAATGTGTCTGCTTTAGATCACTTTCCAAGCGATAAGTAATACGCTGTCTGCATGAAGCAAGTTGATAATCGGCTTTCTCTAATTTTAACGAAGCACTAACTTGCAATGCAGATTACATGACTACTTCAAGTATGTCAAATAAGGTGAGGCAACCTATTCCCAAACTAAGAATAGGCAGGAAATTATTTTATTGATTCAACAGTATTCATTCCCATCGTATTGACGAGTATACGCCAAGTGCATAAACTGCAATACCTCACAACAGAGATACGATGTGCAGTGTTCCGCAACACAGAGGTTTAGCTGCTGCTTACCTTGATTAAACTGACTATATTTGTAGGAACGGGAATCGATTGCGATATCGTGTACAGATGAATGTTTCGCTCTTGATCTTCAAGGTACAAACAGTCGAAGTGGAACCAACTATAAGAAACCGGTACGTTTATTAAGAAGCGCTACAAAAATTCATACCTGTCCTTTGTTACCTCGAGTAAGACTTCTTCCAAACTTACCGCTAACATAGATGGTGGGAACATCGAAAGTTGGCGAGTGGCGGCAAGGCGAGAGCCCGCCGTCTGTAAAAAAATATCTGCTAATCAAACGCCCGTAGACAATGAATCGCCGCAGCTGCAACTGCAAATAAACGTTGACCACTCAATCGTCAGTTCGATGCGGAAGGCGCCGCTCAGGTAATCCTGGAAATTCATCGCCGAACGGCTCACTGTGAGAATTGTTTTCAGCTGCGAATAAGATGCGTCAAATTTTCAACTCAAGAATCAAAAGCTCACAGCTGAAGCCTCGCTTGCACATCGATTCGCCACTGTTTTAACTGAACAGTGAAACGAGTCAGATGTAGTTTCTGTGCAAGATGGCACACAGCTCAAGGCTTCACAATGGCATTTGCATGAATCAGTGAACAACTGCAGAAGGGCAGCGCCGTTATCAACGACATTACTTTAAATATGAGTATTTGACTTGATTCAATTTGAAACTCGAAACGACAGTTTCCTTGGCAGAGTAATATTATATTTCATAAAGTATTAATCGTTTCATTCAGTCAAAATTTTATAGGCCAGGAGGAACGCTAAGAAACAAGTCAGTTGAAATGAAAAGCCACTGTAAAAATATTATAGGGTTAGACGAAGGAAGGAAGATAATCCGAAACAGTACAAAGGACGACCCCAGAAGGTACCATTTTGATAAAATAAGAAGACAAAAAGGGTCTTAATTTGTAATCTTTTTTGAAAACTTAACATTCCACCGTTATGCCACCTTACAGTCAAGCTGGCAAAACCTGAAAGCTGATAAATCACACAATTCGAAAAGATCGATTGTGGGTGACTGTTTATTCGACCTAAAGGATGAATTATGCCGCATCACCATCGAATCAAAAAATGAACAATTAAGAAACTATATGAGCAACAAGGTGGAAAATTATCAGTCATTATTTCGCTGGATAATGCTCGGTCATTACAGGTAGCAGGCAGATTTAGGATTAGCTGCAAAACAACAATAAAATCAGAAGAACAGTGGCAAACGGTGATGGCAGGACAAGGTGAAAAAAAAATTTATGCCACTAAAAATTGAGCTTGTTTTGTTTGTGTAATTATCACCGCTTAAAAACGTCCCTGATTTGTGATGTCCGTTTCATTCGCAGCGTAATTATACAACTGCTGTAAGGCACTGGTTACAGCATTGTAACAGGAACAATTCCAATCA